CCCTGACCTCATCCCAGTGACCGGCCCCACCCCTGACCTCATCCCAGTGACCGGCCCACCCCTGACCTCATCCCAGTGACCGGTCATTGCATACGGGTCGGGGAATGTACAGCGGGGTGACATTGTATACAGGACAGGGTATATACAGGTCGGGCTATATACAGGTCGGGCTATATACAGCGTGGTGACATTGTATATAAGAGTCGGTTATTATCCGCACTCCGGCTGTAGACTTTATTCACCTTTTAGAACAGACAAATACGTCATTTTTCGGGACATTCCCTTTTGTTACACTTTGTCCATCTACAAGCTTTGGCTGAGCCGCCCCGCTGTCTTCACTTCTTCCTCAGTCCCCGCCCTCGGTGGGGCCGCAGGCGTCCATACGCTTCGGTCTCTCCTCCTCCGGGACGTGTTTCGGGAGCCACGTGGCACCGACGTTTCTATAACCGAGTCGGTCGTGGATGATTTCGTAGGCGGAGCCATGGCTGATCTGCAAACGGTTGGCCACGTCGTCCACGGTCACCCGTATATTGGACGCGATCATCTCCCGCGTACGCTCAATGTTGTCGTCGGCCGTGGCCGTGGACGGTCGCCCGGCTCCATCTCGATGGCGGACACTTGTGCGACCTTCCTTGAACTTCTCGATCCATTCATACACACTCCTCCGTGACAACACGCGGTCTCCATACTGCGCACAAAGCCTGCGATAGATATCAGCACCGGGCACACCCTCAGACCACAGGAAACGGATCACTGCACGCTGCTCCTCTTTCCTGCTGGTCACAAGCGGGGCCTCCATCGTTTACAGATGACGTCACACGTTGACACCGGCACAGCAGTGACCGGGGAGACGGTGGCCTGATACGAACAGTGTAATGTAATATGACCGGAGTGCGGATAATTTCTGACTCACCCTCCCAATTTGTACACTTGTTATGGCCGCTGTACGCCAGCTCTCTTGACGTCAATGGAAACACGCCCCGCCTCCTGCAGCTGTCAGATCTCCTATAAATATCACTCGCTCCTCCCCTTCTGACTGACGTCCCTTCCAGCCAATTACCTCTCACACTCCCAACAAGAGGCGCCGCCACTGGTTGTCGCATGCACCAATCCCAGTTCGGTGTTCCGGCTCGGCCCTTAGACGCCCTTCGCTTGACGGAGAGGCTTCTAGCCAATAGCGCGCCGGCATTGTGCTGCTTGTGCGATCTGAGTGGCTGACTCCTCCCCCTTCTGATGGGAGGGGCGGGAGGTGATATATATCCCCGTGTATGACACTCCGGACACCGAGAGTTCCGACAGCGCTGAGAGGAGGACGGGGGAGGTAAGACTCGGGGAATTTTACGGGCTTTGGAGGAGGGGTGTAGGGAACGCTGTGTGAACTGAGGGCCTCACGGGGTGACGTGTCCCGATTTATGCGCCACTGGGCCGCTCGTATTATTGCCGACTTCCCCGGTCTGTGGTGACTCCACATCTCTGCTCTACACATTGTATGTTATCGGGGGCTGACACCCAGGTGAACGCTGTGCCACGGTAATAGCTGGAATCCCACCGTACTAATCCCCCTCCCCCCCCACCTGCCGAGTTT